CAATGGTTCACAAAGGTCGATGTACGCTCAGGATACAACAATATCCTCATTCATCCCAACGACAGGTGGAAAGCCGCGTTCTCCACCTCATACGGGCTCTTTGAGCCCAAGGTAATGTTTTTTGGATTGTGCAATTCACCCGCCACCTTCCAAGCTTACATGAACCAGACATTTTCAGAAGAACTGAACGAAGGATGGTTAATCGTCTATATGGACGACATCCTGATCTTTTCAGATAACCTGGACGAACACCGGCAGAGGACCCGCCGAGTGTTGGAGAAACTCCGCAAAGAGTCTCTCTTCCTCAAACCCGAGAAATGTACTTTCGACACTCAAGAAGTCGAGTACCTCGGTATGATCATTCGACCTGGACAGGTCGCTATGGACACTGCCAAGCTGAAAGGCATCAGCGAATGGCAACAACCCTCTTCGGTCAAGGACGTGCGGTCCTTCCTCGGATTCTGCAACTTCTACCGTCATTTCATTCCCCACTACTCCGACATCGCACGCCCTCTCCTAGACCTAACCAAGAAGGAGATCCCCTTCTCTTGGTCCGACTCCACCGAAGCTTCATTCCAGCATCTGAAGAAGCTTTTCACCACCGAACCGGTTCTGCGGAACCCCGACTCCTCGCGACAGTTTGCACTTGCAACTGATGCCTCGCTCTTCGCGACCGGAGCAGTCCTACTCCAGACAGATAGCAATGGGGATTACCACCCCTGCAGCTATCTCTCCCAGTCCCTCAACGCGGCCGAATGGAACTACGAAATCTACGACCGGGAACTCCTTGCCATCATCCGAGCCCTTCAGGCTTGGAGGCACTTCCTCGAAGGAAATCCTCACCCGGTCATTGTCTTCACGGATCACAAGAACCTGATCTATTTCCGCTCCGCACAACGACTCACCCAACGACAGGCCCGGTGGCACTTCACGCTCACCAACTTTGATCTGGAACTTCACCACGTTCCCGGAACAAAGCTCGCTGCACCGGATGCCTTATCCCGATGTCCGGACCAAGCTATAGCTGGTCAGGATAACGAGGATCGTATCCTCCTCCCCGACACCTTATTCACCCGTCTAATTGACGCTGAACTCGCAGACGAGTTCCAACGCCTTTCTGACGACCCCTCCGACCAGACTGTGAAAACAGCCTTGGACGCTCTCTCCGGGGTGTGCGCACCCCCCATGAAGTCTGCACTTTCCGATTGGAGGTTCACCGATGGTGTTCTCTTCTATAAGGATCGTGCTTACGTTCCCCCTGACCTGCGGCATCGCGTGTTGTCTCTACATCACGATCACCCAACCGCCGGGCACCCCGGGCGTTCTGGTACCGAATGGAACGTCAAGAAATCCTACTGGTGGCCCAGAATGGGCTCCTTCATTAGGAAATACGTCGATGGCTGCGCCATGTGCCAGCAGATGAAGGTTAACACCCACCCCACGACACCTCCCCTCACCCCGATACCCTCCTCGGCCCTCCGGCCCTTCGCTCAGGTTTCGGTTGATTTAATCACCGACCTCCCCGAGAGCGCCGGCTACGATTCTGTCATGGTCGTGGTAGACCATGGGCTTACGAAGGGGGTAATTCTCTGCCCTTGCAGAAAAACCATCACAGCGGAAGGAGTAGCCGAACTTTTCTTCAAGAAAGTGTTCATGCGCTTCGGACTCTATGACAAGATCATCTCGGACCGAGGCCCCCAATTCGCCTCAAAGCTAGCAAAAGAGCTAGGACGACTCCTCGACTATCAAGTCGCACTTTCCACTGCCTACCACCCTCAGACAGATGGACAAACCAAACGGCTCAACCAAGAGCTCGAAACCTACCTCCGGATCTACTGCCGGACGACCCCCTCCGAATGGGCAAAGCACTTGCCTATGGCCGAATTCGTTCATAACTCCCGACGACACTCCGCCAGAAATGCCTCCCCCTTCTATCTCATGATGGGCTACGAACCATGAGGCATCCCCCATCTATTCCCCGACTCTACTCTACCAACTGCCGAAGACCGAGTCAAATCACTCGCCAAGATCCGCGAAGAAGCCCTTGCATGCCACAGCCTCGCGCAGCAACGCATGGCTGATCGTTCCTATGGCCAGCGTTACAAGCCATGGAACGTTGGTGATAAGGTATGGCTATCCGCCACAAACCTAATCACCGGATTCCCTTCTAGGAAACTCGCCCCGAAACGATATGGACCCTTCCCAATCCAGAAGGTCCTCTCCCCCATCACGTTCCAGCTAAAGCTGCCTGCTAGCTGGCGTATCCACCCCACGTTCCATGCCTCGGAACTTTCCTCCTATCAGGAGACAGACGTGCATGGACCAAATTTCACCAAACCTCCTCCTGATCTTATCGATGGAGAGGAACACTACAAAGTGGAAGCTATCCTCCAACACAAGGGTACCGGATCGCGTCGCCGGTACCTCGTGTCTTGGGTTGGCTATCCTGCCTCCGAACGAACGTGGCTCCCCGAAACAGAATTGAAGTCCGCAGCGGAGCTCCTGAAGGCATATAAGAAGTGACTCAAGATCGCTTCAATCGCCATCTCATGTTGATCAACAAACGCCACTGCAACTTCTCCTACCGCCCTCACTACACTAGGGCTGACCCCACCGACAAACCCATCCACACCGACACCAAAACCTTCCATCGCCAACGAATCCGCAACCGCCATCGCCCCACAAAACCCAAACCCATCGACAAACAGCGACCCGTTACCCAATACCCCACCTACGCCACCACCCAAGGAAAGACGCTTCACTATGTCGGTCTCAGCGTCGTCTGTTTCCTCGCACCGATCTGCTACCTCTCATGCGTCTGCCTCCGACCGCGACCCGACGAGCCAGCCAACGCATGGCCATGATAGGCCCTCCCCCCCGGGATACACCATCTTCCGACGACCATCTCTTCGCTCAGTTGTTCAAGATAGGCAACGGGCCTACTGGGAAGCAGTCATCTGCGACCCCCAGTATGCAATTCGACTCGACAACTATCTCAACCGCACCAACGACGACATAACCATGAACCTCGTCCAGGCCTTCAGGGCCACCGACGCCCTCACCGGCGATATCGCCAGGATCGACCTGGCTAGGGAGACTTCCCTATCCACCGTCTCGACCAGATATAACCAAGGCAAGATCAAGCGAGCCTTGCTAAATCTGTTTGAGCTCAGGAACTTCCATGCCGCTGTCATGGCCGTCGAGGAGGAGCGGGCATTTAATCCCCCTCCCGACCCGCTTGCAGTCGTCGAGCGTGCTGTCTATGACAGAGCTCCGACCCCCTTCCTTCCCCAGCTACCCCGCTCTGAATCACCAGAGCAGATCCCCAACATCACCCAGTTGACCAACCCCGAGATTGACCGTCTCTACAACGAATATGAACGCGAGCTCTACGCTCCACGTAACCCTTCCCCCATCCTCGATGTCGACACCATCTCTATTATCATCCCAGAATTGGATGAATGCCCTCCCGAACCACCTGTTCTCAACCCTGACGATTGGGTACCTACTGAAGTGGTCCCACACCTCTCCATTGGTTCTCCGGAACCTCTTCCTACTCTGCAACGCCGAAACCACCGTGCTCGTGCACGATCCATCCTGTCCCTAGGACTACCCCTCTCCCATGCGCATCGCCCGCGCACCCAGAACTTCACTAGGCACTATCCTCGCAAGGAAGCCCAGGAAGACGCCATCAACGACGCGCGTCGTAATGCCACCGAAACCACCCAGGTCTACCGCAGCAACATTGTCTGCCGCCAGTGCCGTGTCTTCGGACACAAACAGAAACACTGCGCGCAATACTTCTGCCGCATTTGTGGGCAATTTGCCCCAAAACATCTCACCCCCTTCTGCCCTCGACTCGACGGCAGAAAGATCCTTCGCCGAGGAACCTCTTCCGACCGGTTCTACAGGGACATGCAGCAGCTCGAAGCTGCGTATGACCAGGACACTGCTCGCCTTGAGCAAGAACGCAAAGAGAATGCAATCGAAGCCGCCTCCTGGCTCAAAGACCTCGACTTCGACCCCGAGTGGTATAACAACCAGGACAACTACGTCCCCTTGAACGACAATTAAAGAGTTCATGGAACTCTACCTTGAAACGGGGGTAATGTTACAAGTAACATCGGCTACATGGCCCCCCTATCATTTTTCCCCTTCGTCCTCGCCCTCGTATGCCTCCGGCTCATACTTCTCTACCGACTATCCGTTGACCGGATCCTCGGGACCGTTCCCATCCCTCATCCCCCTCCTATCGCACCAACGTGCGCACGTGCCTTCGGGCTATGACTCGTTCTGACTCGTGCCACCAATGTGGCTTTCCTTATCTTGTCTTATCTTTCCTTTGACTCGTGCATACTGCACATTGTATCATTTACCGTTGGCTCGTTCCAACGTTTCTTGGTCTCATTCCGCATTCGACCTTACATCACTAATCAGGCTCTGCTACCAGCGTACCTATACCCTTTCCGTTTCCCCTTTACCCTTACCTACAGTACGGTAGCCTTGCCCTTAACCCTTTCCACTTAGTATAAGTAGTCGGTCACTTTGTACTAGATTCCCTAACTTGAATCTACTCAATCTTCCCTCGAACATACTTCCCTCTGAAGCCCCCTCAGCTTCAGTCTCTAGTATCTTTTCTTAGGTGCTCTTCGCGCCTAAGTCTACCTCGATCGACAACTCATCGTTCGGACAAGACTGTCCTTACTTTGAGAACGTCAGTGACTTTGAAGACATCTGTCTTAGAAGTCATGGGACACGCGCGTCTCTGAGATCTGCTGACTCGACGTCGCCAGTCTCAGTCGCTACACCGGACCCTTCCGGTTACGTCACGAACGTTAGCGGACGACGCCCCTCTCAGGGCTCCGCATAACAGATCTATTTGAGTGCGTAACAGATGAAACCCGAAGCGTAAACTATCAGACAAGGTAGGGTATTTGCGGACAAGATTGTGTCTATGTAAGGCGCAATCCCATACGGTATAGTTATAGGGTGTGAGCGGATTAAGATGTCTGAGCGCGAGCACAGTGTTGGGCGCTGTGCGAGCTTCCGAGGCAGCCAGAACAAACATGTCGATCGTCGTGAGATCTGCTGGAACAGCCTTTGTGTCGCTGCCAATCGACACAAAGCGGCTTGTCGGACTTGCGCAAGATGAGTTGTCTTTCGACGCGGGTGGCGAGGGTGGGGTGTGAACTGTCCCAGAGTCTGTCCGCAGTGCATTCAGCGAAGATATGTGAGTTCCTCCCCAGGCATACGGCGCACACAGCTGGGGAGCGAGAGCTGGGTGCACTGTCCTGAAAACCCGAGCGACTAGAGTGGTTGTTGTGGGACTTGTGTGTGGCAAGGGTTTTTGCAAATTTCGAAGAGCCTGCCCATTCGAGATGTGAGGGCGACAGAGAACGTTTGGAATGTTTAGAACGCGAGTGACCAGAGGAGTCGTGGGCACGCAGGGGTGATGATGCATCCTGCAAAGTCGTTCACAACCGCCAGACAAAATAACGCGATGCCACGGCGCCCAGAGTGGTTCGATGATACCACAAACACGGAGCAGAATGGAAGCATGAGGTAAACGCGAGGTGCATACGCCAGAGACGCAAACGCAAACGCAACGCAAAACGCAAGATGACAGCGCAAGGTAGAAAGAAAGAACATGAGGAATATTAGCGAAAGTTCTAAGAATGAGTGATCGAGCTACTTACGCGACGAGAGTCAAGGAGGTCACGGTTACGCAGTTGACGGAAAACGCGGTCAAAGGTACGCAGTAGCGCAGTCTCATCCAGGAGCGAAATGTCCCAGGCGCCCTTGGGCAAAGGGATGGCGTTGTGCCAGGCGCGGCGTTGTTCCTCCTGATAGATGAGGATGGCTCGTTGAGCGATGGCATCAGTAGAGTTCCAGTATCGATGCAAAATGATGGACCCCCAAAAATTGGCCAGCATCGTGATGTGCTGGGCTGGCCAATCATATTCTTCCATGGTTTTTAGTATGCGCGGGATGGCTTGAGCGAATTCCACCGTGGACAGGTTGCGATCCGGGACTACCTTCGAGGAAGGTTTGGTTAAGCCCGCACTGACCCATACGGTGGAACTGTCGTCTCCGGTGGTGGGGACCATGCCCTCATCGTCCCTGGTGCGATAGTTGGCATGGGCATCGGCGACCCCAGTGTTAGTCCAATAATAGAGCTCGATGTAATGCCCCTTATCAATCTTCCGGAGAGCGAAGTCAGAAACCATAATCTCATCATCAGCGGAGTCAGGGCGGGGACGTAGGGGAATTAATAAATGTTTTGAGCGATTTTTCTTCTTTTCGTCATTTTTGGCTGCTTCCTCCTCGAGGCGAAGAGTCTCCTGGTTACAGTTGTTTTCGTCGTCCGCTAGACGCTGCTGTTCGAGATGAAGGCGTTCGTCGTCAAGTGTCTGTTGCTGCCATTGTGCGCGGAGCGCATCGTTAGTGGTAACCCAGACTTCACGAAGTAGGTTGGCGGCTTGTATCTCCGTGGTGGTTGGTGTGACTAGGCCGAGACGGCTGACACTATACGGGTCAGACATGAAGTCTGGGCAAGCGAGCAATCCTGGGTCAGAGTGTAGGCGGTTCATTGAGGCGAGTCAGCGAGAGCGACGAGAATGATAAGATATTGTTTTTATTTAAGGACGCGAAGAGTCTAATCAAGAAGTTTGTTCGTACTTGCGAGGAGCGTGGTGGTGGGGAGAAGAAGAAGGAGTGTGTCAAGTTTGCTCGTGACATGCATAGACCTCATTCGTATCACGTGCTCGTGCCTCGTACTTATTTAGAATACAGTACAAGCAATTTCTGTGCCTGAATATCCCACGCCTGAAGGCACCCTCCGAAATTTCCCGACACCGCCAGCTTCCGAGAGTCGAACTGACATCATTAAGCTTCCCTCGCCTGCTTCGAATGGACCAGCTATGAGTTCGCCTGTGTCCAAGCTCCATATCCGAGCTGTTCCATACTCTGACCCACCCGCTACCAACGCGCTGTCCGCGGAGATATCAATGCAAAAGATCAAGCCAATATTGTCAAATGTTCTCACGATACCCATTTCAACCCTCACTGACTTTGAGTCCCAGGCTATAGCCAGCAGTGACAACCTATCGACCATCCCTTGATACCCCCACCCCATTTATACCATCATCACAAACCTCCCGAGCCTCCTCAATCTCCTTACCCTCCCGCAGGTCCCATCGCCGAATCGTCTCATCGCCTGATCCGCTGATCATTTGCTTGCCGTCAGGAGAATAGGAAATGCACGAAACATATTTGTATTCGTGATGGTCACCATCCGGAAGGAGAACTTTCCATGGTTCATGTCCCTCCAAGGTCATGACTGGTGTTAGAATCGATTTGTTCTCTGCTGCATCGGGCTGCATCGAGCTAGAAGCTATCACAGCTGTATTCGCCAGACTGGTCGGCAAGATGTCGGTCAATGGATGTGTCCGGTGGGTTCTCCTCATGCTCTATAAAGCTAGGCTTGACGTTGAGTAATTGTCAACTCTCACTCGTTCGAGAGCTGGCGCACCTTACTTGCTCAAATCAATCGTCAGTTTGACTCAATCCATGCGTAATCCTCAGAGGTTTGGTCTTACCAGGGCGTTAGCAAGCAAGAGCGATGATGGTCATATAGGCGCGTGTCCCATCTCTTTATATTTATATCTTCTAGACGGCTGTGCATTGTACAGCGTGACTCCCCATACTATCCACACATGTAACCTTATCAAGTTATGATGGCCTTGGAGTGGCGTCCACCCGCATGCTTCTTGTGTGATTCTCATGTGCCAGGGCGTAATGGATTGCCAGTTAGGAGGAAATTCATTGCATGAAATTCGTCTGTGAGAAGCTAGTACATGGTCACTTAGAATCACAAACCAAGCGTTAAAACTTGAAGGTTACGAGAAATGAAAAAGAGCTGGCTTGATCTCGTTTGAAAGCTCACTAGATTCAACTAGGCCGCATTTTCGAGCAGTTCTATGTGGGCCAAGTACTGAACAAACGCCTTCGGAACAAGAGCCTATCGGGATTCGGATGTTGATACATCAGGAGGTCAATTTCTCTCTGCCCACGACACTACGCATGTGCCGTGACTATTGTGACGCACACCAATTTTTGCTGGATCCACGTTGATGGACGACTAAAGCGCGTGTCTATACCTCTGTCGTTATATCTGAAACCATTGTCAAGTTTATGCGACTCCGAATATGGCCTCAGAGCATCAATCTCATCAAACATGATGCAGAGGATTTTCGACACGCACCGCCCACCGCAAGCTGTAAGGCGCATTGGCAGGAGAAGAATATGAAGGTCATATGACAACCAAATGATAAGCAAACTTTACCCATGGTTGAAACTCATTAGTATTGAGAGCTTTTGAACCGGGAGTGATCGTGATCGTGACCGGAAACATTACCTGGTTGACGTTTGGCTGCACTCCGAAAGCCGATGTCGATGCGCTCGTACATCGCAGTCATCAATAATAAACCCATGTTGTCAGGTACCACTTTCTGCTCACCAATAACGCAACTCCGTCTTCATAGCCAGTGATTTCCTGCGCATGCTGCCGCTCCATCCGATCCAGATTTCTGGACTCAGGTCGCACCAGGACATCCAGATGTCGCTTCTCTGTGTTGACGATCTGTAGCGGTGCAAAGCAATTCGTGAGATGACTGTTTAACAATGAAGAAGTTCTTCGATGCTTTCTTGAGTCGATGACATGGATAAGTGAAATTTTGCTTCTTTACCTTTCACCCATCCTTCCGTGCCAGGAAGCCGTTCCTTGAATTTGGTATGTCTTTGTGCTCTTCATGACCGCGTATACAGGCACTAAAAAGCGATCACTTGCAGGCTCTCAGCAGGGTGGCAAAGGCACATTTTTGCGTCAAGCGACCAACGCTGCAAGACGGCGATTTCCTTCAACTTAATGGTGTAGTTTTGCAAGCAGGAAACTAAAATAATGATCCGTTCTCTACCTTGGCTAGAACAGTCAGATTGGGCCAGAATCTACGACGGGATGTTGCGATGTATCAAGGACACGAATAAAGCGTGACTACTCACAAGGAAATGCAATGGCAATATGATTGTCTGTGACACTTGGCGCTTGAGTCTTTCTGAGTCAGATGCCGGTGAGCCGATTCTAATATCACGCGTTTAGAAGATGATGCGAGACGTGCATCAAGTTTTGCATCGTCTATTGCACTTCGCGTAGGTTCGTTCTTTGTGATTGTTGTTGACCAGTTCACTGAACTCGAGCTGTTTCTCCCGAAGCACCGACATGTCTCACAGAGACCTGATAGATCTCGTCACTCACGCGAATCTGCCTTCAATCTACTATGATTCATCTGTTCGCTATAACTTCTTATAAGTTGTAGTGCTCCAATCAGATTGTCAGCCTCAGGAGGACCTAAACATCCACAGCGCATTGACAATGCACTGCTCGTGTTTGCATCGCGGGCCTGCAACAAGAACGAATAGCTCAAGCGTGCATGCAAAGCTCCAAAGGACCATCGTCCCATTTAGTGAATGACGGTGGTCCACAGAAATTTTTTCCTCAAAGGAAGGCCCCTGCAGTGGAAACACATCTCGAGGATATACCTTCAAAGCGGCGCTGGACGAGCATATAAATATTGCGTCGGTGGCCTTCATCATCTATTCCTCACCCACTGCACCTACTGCCACTGCGACCTCGTACACACACACCCTAACATTTCAATCAACTATCTGTTGGCCCCGGTACGTGTGTTCAGAGCTTCAACACCTACGTTTTCTCACTGTATGTATTTCTTGCCACCAGATGAGACACTTCACTCCCCATGTCTCCTCATCACATGGTTCCGATTCTTCCAATGCAACCCAATACACGCCAAACACTTGTATGTATATGGGTCGATTTCGCTGGCCCCAGCCCTCACACATTCCTTATCTAGGCTTCTACTACCCGTATGGTGTGTCAGCTAACGGGACGCATAGCGCCCCTCCATCATACGCGCCGGTCGCACCTTCGCCTGGTGTCGGTGCTGGAGTCGTGCATCACGCGTTCCAAACGGGACAAAATGGTTATTATCCCAATCCAGGAGCCGATGTCTCGTGTGCCACTTATGGTGGTCCATACTCACTGCAAACTGCGGCTACTCATCCCCCACAAGGCCCATCCGCGACCCCCCTGTACCATCAACCTATTTCTTTTCCAGGAGCCGCAAACCCTTACGCTGCGCTCATACCGCACCAAGGATACTTCCACCAGAATCACGGGCCTGTGCCTGCAACGGGCTCTACTTTTTCGTCTCTCCCTCAAGCGCCAAGTATCAGTCAAAAGCGCATCGCGGAACACCTCCATTACTGCGATGTCAAGCAAGCCAAAATAGCTCCCGGCGGAATGAAGGACGACCCGTTATTTGTGAGTTTTCTTTTCATCTTGTGAGGTCTGATTCTCAAGCATCGGCACAGACCCCTGTGTTAGATCAACTCGGTCAACCAAACGGGACATTCGTGTGTTCTAGGGACGGCATGGTGCTCAATCCTGGAAGCTATCTCAAGCACCTTAAGACAAAAAAGCACCTAGGCTTCAAACTAGAGAAATTCAAGTGCTCTGGTTGTTCCAAAACGTGCGTATCCCAACTCTCAAATAAGCTTCTCGTATCATTAATATCGTTGTGATTAGGTATACGAGACGCGATGCCTACAAGCGGCACTTGATCAATAGCAAGTGTGGACAGTCGATAGCTGTGGGCGCTCCGCCGCCATACTCAGCTAGTCAGAACTCCACGAGTTCTGCTTCTGTTGCACCTGCAATGGCATCTACCACTGCGCTCACTTATTCTCACCCATACCCCATGTTCCCCACGTCAATGTCCCAGAACGTCGAGATCGCACCCCCAACAGCTTATATCTCGCAGTCATGTGGCACGCCCAGTTTTTCGAATCCTGAAGTTTTCTCTTCATCACCAGAGAACAACATGGTCTCAGAGCCTGCCGAAAACGATAATAATGACGACACTGGTTTTTGGGAGGCTAATGAGATAAAGGACGGCCATGAGATGTAACCATATTTCAATTCTGCTACTGACTATTTTCTGTCTTTTATTATCTGCTGCTGTCGTTCATTCACTTGTCTTTCCACCTACTACACGCATTCTCTATTCTCTATGGCATAACACATTATTTATTCGTCCACATTGTCATGACTGCTATCATCATCATCATCATGGTAATTTGGTGATTCGTTGGTTATAATACACACGCTCCTCTCATGTACGCGCGAGCTGGAATATCTAAGGAACGAGCGAGTAGGTGAGTTGAAACAATTTGTGACATCATCACCCGTCCCTCCCGAAGAAAAACTTGAGAAGCATCAATATCAGAGATGTCAACACATTTTCTCTGTAAAATCTTGAGAGCGCGCCTCAACAGATGTCACAATGCGAGGTGAACTATTGCAACAAGGCGCGGACCCACAATTGACTCAACACGATGAAGTCCCTTCAGCGGAGGCCAGCTATGTCGGAGGTTAAAAGGCTCTGGAGTCTGGATAGTAAATGCTCATGACAGATAGAAACGCAGGGACAATATCTCGGAGCGCCGTAGACACTGGAGTCTG